AATAATTCTTCATTATTAGATGTGAATTGCAGAATAAGCAGTAAATCAAACAAATCAAAGACAGGAAAGTTTTAATGTAAAAAGGAAAATATTCTAAAATTTCCAATTCAATTATCTTCTTATTTTAAGTTACAGGAAAAATACCAAATACTTTGGAATATTTTTATATATCTTTAATCATATCTAAGTATTTAAATTGTGAAAATATTGATAAAATTTTTATAATCTAATAATAATAATAATAATAGATGTGGATATTGTTTTTATTTTTGTTCACTGTTAAGATATAAATCTATTAAAAAATGGATAACTAAGCCAACCACTGTCGTATGTTATCGGGCTAAATAACAGCTATAATATTAATAAATTACCAAACAATTTGATACTATTATACAAGTGTAATGTTATATATATACTGGAAGATGGGATCAGACCAGAGATTGGGTAGTGTAATTGGCAATGCATCCACACAGTAAGTGGCAATTGTGGGTTAGAGTCCCGCTCCAGGCCGATTCCTTTCTTCCAGTTTAATTTAAATTATTTAATTAATATTATAATTATTAAATTTATTAAGAGATGGTGTCTAATGCCTTCCTTTAGTATCAAATTGTTTGGTAATTTATTAATATTATAGCTGTTATTTAGCCTAATAACATATGGCAGTGGTTGGCTTTAGTTATATAATGTATTGGGTTTTAGTACAGTTGTTTGATTAAAAATGGATATTTTTTAATATAACACTAAAAGCAATATTAATGTAAATATATTCTTAGAAAATCCAATATTATAAAAATTTGTTTTTTTCAATGCAATAACCAATTTTCATCAGTGTAGACACTATTGAAATAAGGAAACTAGTTATTGCATTTTCTGTTCATAAATTCTGTTACTCATAAAATTTTCTATCTGAATCACAGGAAAATGAATAGTTATTTGTGCTAAATTGAAACTATAAGCAAATTATCTGAGAATATTACTATCAATTTTATGTACAGTTGTCCCTCTATAGTCCGACGTTTTTTAATCTGACATGCTCAGTAGTCCGACACACCTCCCGTCAAGGTACCCATCCCCGTTACGTGTCTGCTTGCATGGAAGCATGTCGCGATGTGAATCTCCCCATCCAATTCTTACTCGATGACACACATTTCGTGTGTTTTATGTGAGCAGTTCTGTTCGAACAGTTGGAGTAGAGAATATTGTAAGTTACTGCTAGCAAAACAATGCGAAATATGTAATTATTTTTGGTAATCCGGACACTTTTGGTAATCTGACACACCTTTGGTCCCATACCTGTCGGATTATCAAGGGACAACTGTAT